CCCTCACTCCCGACCCACAGCCCCTGCTAGCCCAGCCCCCCATGCAGCTCTGCCGGTGCCCCTCACTCCCGACCCACAGCCCCTGCTAGCCCTGCCCCCCATGCAGCTCTGCCGGTGCCCCTCACTCCCGACCCGCAGCCCCCTGCTAGCCCGGCCCTGGGCTGCCCACTCCCCTGCCCCAGCTCTGCTGACGCCCATCAACTCTCCCAGGCCTCATCCTCCACCTGCTCCTGTGGGGCTGGGGCAAAGGGGGGGGGGGATTTCCTGTAACATTTTTATGACCCCTGGGTGACCAGCATGGCCGACATTTTAACCTTCATTCCCCCGGGGCTCCCAAGGGCTCCCTGGGCTGGTCCAGGTGACTAATAACCCGCCTGTTGGCCCGCGCTGGCTGCGTGTCCCTGCAGACGCTGGCGGAGGGGGCGCTGCCCCCCAAGTGGTACAAGTCTCTGTCGGGGTCTGTCTCAGGGGGACTCGCTGCCCAGAGCTCATGGGGGGGGGGAGGAGCAGAGGGGCTGCAGGCCCAGGGGTCCAGCCCCAGGAGGCGATGAAGCTGTGTGGCTTCCCCTGGAGGGAGAGCGAGACCCCCCAGGGGCCTGGCCCACTTACGAGGCCTCCCAGAGCCTGTCCCCACGCTGGGGCCGTGGCCCCGATCCTGGGGGTCCGTGACGGGCTCTTGCTGGAAGAATTTTGCTCCCATTGGTTAAGAACGTGCCTGAAGCCAGGAGCCACTTGCCCCCTCCCCCGCCCCAGGGCCCTGAGCACCCCCTAGCCTGGGGCAGCTCCAGGCGTTTCGCACCTACCGGGCGCTCCTGGGACTTGCGCTTCAGGGGTTTCACCACCGTCACGTCCAGGTCCTGAAAGGAGGCAAGAATGAGGTGGTGTCCGGGCAGGGGTGGGGTGGGCACCCCAGGAGGGCGCAGGGTCCGTGGGCGATGACCCAGCACGGAGCCACGCTGGCAGCTCCATGCCCAGGCGTCCCCCGCACCAGCTCCCCAGGGACCTGCTGGGGATCCAGTACTGGGGGGGAGGCAGGCACCCCACTGGGCCCATTACAATGGCCTGTGCCCCGGCCCCCCTCCCCCAGGCTATTATCGAGCCGGGACAGCCGGAGTCAGGCCCCCGGGGCTGGTCTGCCCGGAGCGGGGCCCTCACCACGTCGTCCTCGGTGCGGTCGTAGCTGATGTCGGAATGGGACGTGAGCGAGGTGCGCGACTCGTCCACCGCGGACAGCCTGCAACAGAGACGGTCAGTGCGGGCTGGCAGCGGGGGGCGCAGGCTCCCGCCCGGGCGGCGCCCCCCCCCCCCCCCACCCCCCCAGCAGTGCAGCGTGCCTGGCTCAGCCGCCCCAACCTGCTCGGGGGAGTCACGGCACCGTAGCTAAGTCAACGAGCAGCCCAAGCACCTACGGGAGCAGAAATCAAACCCACCACTCAGCAGGGGGCTGCGGGTCGGGCCTGAGGGGCACGGCGGAGCTGGGGGGGCAGGGCAGGTTAGGAGGGGGCTGCGGGTCG